CCCCTCCTCCCGCATTTAACCCCTGCAGCGCTGTTGCGGGGGGCTCGGTGCCGCACCCTTGCCGCGGGTTCCCCCAGCCACCCCGCTAGCCCTTTACCTGAGGTCGCAGGTCCCTCCGTTGGGTCCACGGGTCTCAGAGGAGAGGAAGCCGGATAATTGCTGGTTCTAACCTTCTAGTCTCTGACTGCAGCCCTGTGCAGTCACCGGCACGGCCCCAGCCCGGGCATCTGCTGGCCCAAGTCTCCCGACAGGGACCATGATAATCTCCTGGCATCTTCCAGGCCCATTATAGGATTGGAAAAGGCCCTCATCTCTCCTCTCCTGGATCAGCTAGGGACCCTGGGCTCAGCAATAATGAGGGAGGGGCCCCTCAGGATAAAGAGAGAATCACTCCGGGGCACCTGGATTTGTCCAACCGTTGGTGCTGGAACCGGGTCTGGGAAGTCACTGCTGAGGCACCTCCTGCCCCTCTTCCCTTATCCCCAGCCTTTGGTCCTCACCTCCGGGCTCACGAATCAGCCTTAGAGGTCTGGGTTGGACTGGTGCCAGCATTCTCTTCCCGCTTCCAAAACAGACAAGACCCAGGCCCATCCCAAACCCAACCCTCACTGCTCTCACCCACTTCTTTACAACCTCTGATCTTACCAACGACCCTTCTCTTGCCTCCGGGGGTGGTGGGGGGCTGGGCCCTCAAGGCAGGAGGTTTTAAACCTGGGTGGTAAAGCTACCGCTTCCTACCAGTAGAGGGCCTGGGCAAATTCTCAATCCTGAGGTTTCCCTGTTCCCATTTAAAGAAAAAGTATAATTAATTATCACTTCAGGTAACATTCAAGGGACTTAAGAGATCAGTGTTTACAAATGCTCAAAACATAGCCTAGCATGAACAATTAAATGCCCTACAAATATTAGCAAATTTCCTTTTGATGAAAAGTGATTGTCCAGTCTCAAGCTGGTTCTCTGTGCATCACAGATGACCTTTCCGCCAGGTTCCCAGGATGGTCCCAAGCAAAGGATTTCCAGACAGTTCCAGTGCTGGAACTGCCAGGGATGTGGGCAGGAGTCAGATGATATCATAAACATCTCCCAGATCTGCCAGGGTGCCAGGAACAGAGGACAGTGACTGTGCTATTAGGGCCAGCCACTGAAGGGGTCCCTCAGAATTCCCAAAACAGACACAGCACCCATCTAGGCAAACTCACATCTTGGTCAGGAGACAAAGCTACTCCCCGACTACACCAACACCTCCTTTGCAGGCCCTCAGTAACCCTCGGTACCTGAAGCCCAGGTTAGACATACTGACAAGAAAACCAAGCCTTCCCAAAACTCAATCTGCTCAGGTTAAAATGCTTAAGAACCACATAATCACAGTGCCATGGGTCCCAGTACCTGATATGAGGTGAAAGGCTTTATAAAGGAGGTCTTTTGTTGTTGTTGTTTTCCCAGTGCAATGGACAGAACCTAGGGTCTTTCGCACATCAGGCAAGGGCTCTATCACTGAGCAGGCAGCACCAGGAAAGGCAGACTTTGGGTCAGGCACAGTAGGGCCAGCTATCTGTGCTGAGATTAAGGTACGGGGACTGCTTGAACCCAGCCCAGACCAGCATGGGCAACATGGGGAAATGGCTTTTTTTTTTAAAAGTTTGTTTTTTGAGACAGGGTCTCACTATGTAGTTCAGGCTGGCCTTGAACTCATTATGGAGCCCAGACTGGCCTCAAACTCCCAGTGATACTCCTGCCTCAACCTCCTGAGTGCTAAGATTTCTAGCATGTGACACCACGGCCGGTTTATAAAAGAAAAAGAGAGAGCGAGATCTTGGGGAGAGACTAGAAATTGTTTATTGGGAACAGATGTGGCATAAGAGCAAGTCTATTAGTTGGGCATGGTGGCACAAGCCTGTAATCCCAACATTTGGGAGGCTGAGACAGGAAGATCATCTTAAGTTCAAGGTCAGCCTGGAATACATAGTGTGACTGTCTTCAAAAACAAAAGAGCAAGGCCATGATGGTCAAGAGAGGTGTGAGAACAAAGGCTTGTGCAGCTTCGCTGCCTGCCCTCCAGCCCTAATGAAGGCAAGTGGCCCCTGCCCAGCCCAGCAGCTTACTTCAAAGGCCAGGGTCAATGTCTGATCAGTCTGAGGCAGAGGTGAGAGGAACATAAAGCAGATGAGTGAGACAGGTGAAGACACCAGGGCACAGACACTGTTTATTGAGTGGCAGGCACAGGAGAGGTAGCTGGCTCCAGTGTGGAAGTGGAGGCGGTAGGTCATACCAGGGCACTGTGGGCAGCTGGCAGCCAGGCCCATGCCCCCCATCTTAGGGAGATGGCACAAGCTCACTACGACAGGAGCAGCAAAGGGCTGGCTAGAGGAGCGGACCGCCATGGCCCCCAGGATCCTGGTCAAGAAGCGACAGATAAACTTGGCACAAAGGCCGGGGTAAGGGGAACTCAGGACTGGGTGTTCTGGGGAGGGCGGTGGAGAGGGGGTCACGTCTGTGGGGTAGAGTAGAGGCTGTGGTGGTGGCTACCCGGTCCTGGCACCTGGGAGAAGAGCAGAGGAGTGGTCCTCGTCTGGCTGCCCCCGTACCAGCCCGGCTCATGCCTGATGGCACCGTACCAGCTGCCAGAGCCCAGGCTGCCCGACATGCTGCAGGCAAAGAAGCAGGGTCAGTTTCAGGGCTCTGACCAGGGTCACATTCACGAGAGTCAGAGAAGGAAGAGAGGTTTCTAATAGAGGCCTCCATGACTCAAGCTTCCTGGGTCCAGGACAGACTACACCTGGGGAATGGGGCAGGGGTTTTAGCAATAGAAATTTAGAGGGGATCTCACCTAGAAAAGAGGGGAGACAAAGGTTAGGGTGATGGTAGGGTGGGGATACCCAGCTCCCAGTCCCCACTGCTTGATGGAGCCAGGCAGGAGCCTAGAGATCCTAAGGCATACTGGGCTCCTACCTGGTGCTCTCTCCCCGGCTGTGTTCCCAGGAACAGGCCTCATCCTCACAGTGCCCAGCCCGGTCAAAGAAATAGGAACGGGAGCCAAAGACCTGCCCATTGAGGATGTGGCTGGTACTCTGGAGAAAGGGGGAATCATTACCATCGATGCTTTCTCTTGCCCCCTTCAACTGTCCCAAGAACCCAGCCCAACATCCCCAGGTTCCAGGCCTCTCCCCTGGCCCCACAGAAGTAGGCAGAAGTCCTCACCAGATCCTGCAGAGGCCGGTGCACCCGGAAAAAGCCCACTAGCAGAGTGGTGGGCAGCAGCTCCCACACAAAGAGAATGAGGCCAAATACCAGGTAGCCTTTGTTCCCCAGGTCATTTACCAGGTCCGCCTGGGGGAAGGCAAAGGCTTATGCCGATCTTCAATCATGCCACAGGGGTGCTGAGAGGGCCGAGACCAATGGGGGCCGGGAATTATGGTGAAGGAAGCGGCAGACATGCCAAATACCCACCTGATCAGATACGTTGTACCAGTCATAATCAAAGGCATCCAGCTGGCTCCGGGGGGCCAAGGCCAGGGCTGCCAGGTTGTAGCAAGCCCGGCTGGCATAGAGCAGAACCATGGCGCCACCTATGGCAGCTGCCTGACACACACTGGTCCCCTGGCACAGATGACAACAGAGGACCCTCAGAAAGAGGAGGCTCCCAGATTCCTCTGTGACCTTAAGACTGCTGCCCAAAGATCCCCATAACACCTGGGCATCAAGGTTTGTAGCCCTACCTTGGCCTCCAGGTAGATGCTAGTGGAGGGAGCCCGCCTGGCGACGAGGCAGAGGCAGGCAGCAAGAGAGAGAGCACAGATGACGAAGAGGGAGTCGCTCACCAGGACGCGCACCAGCAGTAGGGCCCAGGGCTGTGCCCGGTGCCGGCGGGACAGCACTGCACACAGCACATTCACCAGCAGAAAAAGCAGCGAGGCCCCCACAAAGGCCCCTCGGACGGCCAGCCTGCAGCCCACAGCAAAGTCAGCCCCAGAGCACTGACAGCTCTTGGTACTCACCAATCACCCTCCCTCCCCCAGGGGACTTCAGTGTCAGTGAGAACTCAAGATTGTCCAGTCTGAATCCCGTTCCTGCAGTTTTACAGGTGGGGAAACTGAGGCCCAAAGAGGTACAGGGACCGACAGCTGGAAACATCACCAGATTGGGAGTCAGCAATCTAGTTGAGTCCTGGCTCTGCCTCCTGACACCTCTGTGACTTTGAACATGTTGCTTCCCCTTGTTGGACCTCTGTTTCTTTATAACTCAAGTGAAGATAAGAATAGCCTCTCAGATGAGTTGTAAAAAGGAAGATGTTTGTGAAAGCTCTTTATAAACTAGAAGACACTGTACAAATGACAGGGATACTGCAACCCAAGGTCATCAAGAAATGCAGTGGGCTTAGTAAATTCCATGGGCTGCAGCTTCCTGCTCTTTCTCCATCCGGGATGACTTTGGCACTCTCTCCCTCAAGTATCAGGACTGTTTCTATTACTGTTGCCCCTCGTGTGGGCAATGCCTCTGCTGAGCCATCTGTTCCAGGTGCTTCAGCTTTTCCAAGCTCTTTCACAAACATTCTCTGGGTTGTCTTTGTCTCTGTCCTACAAGGTGGGTTGCTCTTTGCCCTAGACTGCTGAGCCCACCAGCATCCCAAGTACTTACAGGCCTCGGCTCATCTGTGGCCGACGCTTTGCCTTGGCCTTGAACACCACCTGGGAGCAGAGATGCCCATCACTCCTTTGGACCCTTGGGACTTCTTCCCCACCAACCCCCACCCATCACCACAGTTACCTGGGCAAAGTAGAGGTTCATGAGCGTCAGTGTAAAGAACTGCAGGCAGACAGGACAGCAGTAGAGAAGCCAGAAGGGCAAGGGCCCCAGGTGGTTGGCCCGGGAAGTATCTCGGAAGTAGAAGGAGAACAGGGTGGTGCGCAAGGCAGCCCAGAGCAGACAGAGTGCCAGGAACACTGTCTGATAGCTGAGGCGCTTGTGCCCATACAGAAGCACCAGCCAGAGCTGGGCATAGACAGAGAAGAAGAGCAGAGCATACAAAGTGGTGTAGGCCGCAGTCAGTCCCAGGGTCACTGTAGGTGGCAGCGCAGGCACAAGCCCAGCAGCAGGCACCAGGCCAGACAGGTTACTCTCCATGTCAGGGAGGGAGGCCTAAACACCAGAGACAGAGATGGGCTAGCTGGGGGCCAGAGAAATAAATACAGAGGGGTGGGAACTGCAGGATGCAGTGACAGCGATAGGAACTCAGGAGGAAAGAAGTTGTGGCTGGCCAGGCCCTTTCTCTTCAAAAGAGAGATCCTTGCCCTTGGGGGACATGGGCAGCCTAAGCCCTGGCCCCTCACTTGGGTGTATGGAAGGGCAATCTTTCCTCTCCTGAGCAGATGGAGTAGGGTTTGGGAATGAACCTCCCGAGGTCTCCCGCACAGCCAAGGGGTGAGGGGATGGAGAGGCTGAAGGAGACAAGCCTTGGTCGCTAGTTTCGGCCTGGCAGGAGGGGGGAGAGCCAGCCGATGCCCGCCAGCAAGGAGCAGTGGCCGCTGCGGGGACGCCCAACGCCCGGCTCTCCCCCTCCCCAAGCTTGGGAGCTCTCTCCCCTCCAATAATCCGGGAGAGTCTCTTCCTCTGTCTTCTGGATTCCAAGCGATGCCGCCCCCCAGCGCATCCACCCTCAAGCCGCGAGGGGCGGGAAGCCGGAGGAGGACGATGCACAGTTCCTCGGGCAGCAGCTGGAGGAGCGGGATCGGGTCGCCGGACTCCAGGCTCCAGCCCTCCGGCTCCCGCTGCTTCACCCCTCCTGCGCCTGCGCGGGTACCGTTCGCTACGCGAGTTGCGCAGGGGCTGGCCCGAGCTCCGTAGCCTCGCACCGCGCCCGGCGTGAAACCATTCAGGAATAGGCGGGATCTGCGTAGCCGGCGGGCGCCGTGGGTTACTGGGGCCGACGGGTAGCCGAGACACGGAGGCTGTGTCCTATCCAGTGGGTGTTCGGGTGGGCCGCCGGGCCTGCCTTGTTCGGGAGGCTGCCAAGTTCCAGTCTTAGACCCCCCATCTTCAAATTAGTATCGAGCTGCCCGGATGGGGGCGGTAACAGCCGGTCTCTTAAGACCCGGACTCCGAAGGAAACTTCCGCCCACAGCCAAGATGGCGCCCAATCCCCGCCCCCGGGCCTGGTCCGGAAGTCCCCTGTCCGGACCCCAGCCCCTAATCTCAGCCAGCCACTGTAGCTCACCCGGCCGGTCACCGGCCTACAGCGGAGCACTAAGACTCGCCCGTGCAGAGGGCCCTGTTCCCTTCCCGCGTCCGGGTAACCATCCTGCCAGGGCAGAGACGCCCTCTTATCTCGAGTGCAGCAGAAGTGGCGTGGGGAGGGGTCCCCAAGGCCAGGCGGGCAACGCCGAGGCCGCCACTCGCGGGAATGGGACTTCCCGGGCCGGGTCTCCCGGTCCAGGCGAAGCAATTACAGTAGCAACAGTGATTGCATCCGACGGCTGAACGTCAATTACGGCTTTGCAGAGTGCTTTCTCCCACAATAATCATCACTGTTTACAAAGTTTTCACTGGCTCCCAAGGGAGGCGTCATTATCTTCATTTTACTGGGGAAGAAACAAAGGCCCAGAAGGACTCGCCAGCAGAAATAGTCCTCCAGGTTCCACATGCGGACTCCAGAGAAGCCCTCGTCAGCTCCTACTCACGCCGAAGGATTCTAAGGAAGTTGGAGCTGGGCATCCGGAGACCAGGGGCAGGGCTGTGGTGGGGGCGGGTCCCACCTCTGGGGTGGCCCCGCCTCCGGGCCAACCCGGGATTCATCTGCAGAGCTGATTGGTCCTTATCGGTGACAGTTCGCGTTGCCCAGGAAACTAGGGCTGGGCACCTTCAGTACTAGAGGGAGGTGGCGGACCCGAGTCAGGGGCCTGAAGATAGGGCTTGGGGTGAGACCTGTTCGCCGCCACTATGGGCGGGTAGGGTCGGGTTGGGTCGGGTTAGGTCAGGGCCTGTTTGGAGTCTTGGGACGATCCTGGGACACCAAGGCCCTGAGGGAAAAATTGGGGCCTGTGTGGACAGCCTGAGCTCCCTGCCTGGCCAGTTGCAGCAGACAGATGTGGGCCTGGAGAAAGGGCAGGCTTAGGGGCTTTCGGGTGGCAGAGGGGGGCCAGGATATCTGTCCCCTGCCTCTCACAGCCACCTTTTGTCCTGGCTGTTCCCTGACTACATGTTATCTTGTCCACATAGCCCAGAGCATGTTCCAGATCCCAGAGTTTGAGCCCAGTGAGCAGGAAGACTCCAGCTCCGAAGAGAGGGGCCTGGGCCCCAGTCCCATAGGGGACCAGCTAGGTCCCAGCCCAGCACGAGGCTTCCTGGGGGACACCAGTCACCAGCAGAGGCAGCTGTTCAGCAGCAGACACCATGGAGGTAGGTTCCCCACCACCGCCACCACCTGCTTGCCTATCTACTTTCAGCCCAGTGGCTCCTTGCACATCAGTTGCATCCACACTTATTAAAGGTTTTGGGGGGAGTCCCTAACCTCCCTGAGCTTCAGTGTCCTTCTGAAAGCAAATTCATCACCACAATTATAGGATTATTGGGTTAATTAGCAGGAATAATCAAGTAAGCACTTAATTATAGAGTTGGTACATAGTAATATTTGAAGGTGCCAGGCCAGTTGATGCAGGATAGTGATCCAGAAAGGGAAAATGTCTTGCCTAAGGTCACACATGTTTGGCACTGCCCATATAGGAGCTAGGCTGGAAGACTCCCTGCCCCAGAGGATCTCTTTCCTGGATCAGCCTTTCAACTGTTTGCCATTTTTTTTTTTTTTTTTTTTTTTTTTTTTTT